CGATCAAATTCTGGAAATTCTGGGACTGACTATATGAAAGAAGGAAGGGGGGGAAAAAAAAACGTTGGAATCGGAGACAGGAAGTGGGAAAGGGGAGGGAGAGAATCCTCGAAGACCAAATGTATATTTTTTTCTCTTCTGTTTCAGCCTTCGGCTCGATCTTATCAGGTGCTTAGTGCGAAAGTGGTCTGTTCTTTTACTCCCTTCATTTCGAAACGTGCATCGATTGTGCTCTATATTTCTTTCTCTTTAGTATGGAAGCTTAAGTTTTTTAATTTATTAAAACTTGCCCTGGGGAATTTTACCTCTTTACTCGACTCAAAGTGAACCCAAAGTGAATTTTTTACATGGACGTCGCTTGAATTCAGGGCTATACCGACGTTTCGGCAACCGCCGGTTTGGCACCATCGGTAGGTTTGCTATCTGCCGGTGCCGATGTCCAAAGAAGACTGTAGAACGAAGAATAAGAGATTAAAAAAAACTACGTTAACGGATTTGGCAACTAATTCTCAACAGCTATAAGTATAGGTTGCAAGAGGAGTCGGATAACCAAAACGGGCACACCGATCGGCAGGGGACCGAGGCGAAGCCGAGGTTCCCTCCTGGATATCGAAAAACGAGGCCGCCTGCCTGTCGCTGTGTAAACGATGTCCGTTTTGGCTATCCGCCTCTGCCTCCCCCGTTACTCACCGACGACAGCAAAATATAGAACGGATCGTATAATTTATTTAAGGCAATATCATGGAACACCATTTATTAACAAGGACAGGGAGGGTGAATATAGCCTGAGGCTGAAGTGTGCGCGTGAAGACTTGCTCTTGCTTGAAAATTCTGCGTAGGAAAGCCCAAGGTCGCATGTCCGACTCCCTGTCTTTCGTCTAGCTGGTTTCCGACCTTGCATTTTCATGGTCGAGCTGTGCTTGAATACGTGTGTTTCGTGCCGGCCCTCTGTGTACGAGTAAATTTGAGTAAGCGTATTCCTGAATCGGGATTTCAGTAAAATAAGTTGGCATCACTTTGAATATGATATGGAAGGTGAAGGTGCTGTATACGGTTGGCGTGTGGTAGATTTCATGATGTTCGAAGATTAGTTTTTTGTTAATAGTTCTTTCGTTTTCATTTCTGCAAGTCATGAGAGATAGAGTTCAAGTTGCCTGATCCGCCAGATTATCTAGCAAATTCGCAGCTTCTCCAACCACTCAAAAAGGTGACCACAGCTAGAGACTGAACGTGGGAGATAACGTGGAGGACTGTTGCAACCTCGGTTGCTGTGCATGAGGTGACCCTCACCTGATCAAGGCATACACGCAACTGAGGTTCGAGAGGGTGATGGCCTAGGGTCCAATGGGCATGCCTCACCCACTTCCCACTCCCCGCCTCTCACAGCAGGTCCTTCCTTGCAAGGGTCGGATAAGTGGTGAAGTCATCAGGTTATCCTCGCTCGACACGGGGTCTGTGGTGGGGACGTCGGTATAAGAAAAAATTAATGCTGTTCTGCTGCATCCATCGATGAATGGATGTCATTTTCGATAGTTGGAGGCATGGTAGGCTTCATTTACTCGTTGCGAAGGTCACACCTTCCCCCCGATCGCAAGCGTGAGATTATGGAAGACTGATAGAGGTCCGCGCGATCTCCCCGATGGAGGCAAGAAACGACGATAGTCAAACCTCCGCCCGATCGCGGCGAGAAAAGATTGATCGATTCCTCCGGCAGTGTCCAGGAGTTAGTATTACACCTAGACTACAGTGTGTCCTACTAAATGTGATTTTTTAATAAGAGTCATAATATAATATACCATATATTGGTATCATTACAAATAAAAAACTGAATCTGTTTGCCTGGAGTGAGCTGTTGAGTTAATCTCTTTCATCAAAATAGTATTAAATTACGGTGTATTCGTGTGGATAGATATTATCAGCTTTGGTAGCAAATGCCTTGACTTGGCTTGATTATTTACAAATGTAACAAAACGATTTCCATCAGTTCCGGCACGGTAAGGCGTGGCTGCGATTCTATCGCATAACCGAAGGGTTATAGGGGGTGACGAGAGGTCATTGTGTCGAGGTTTCGCCATTCCACCGTCCAGACGAACCCAACAGACACTAGGAGCTTTATTCACACCCTGAGGGTGAAGGAAAAACGCAGATGGTACGATAAACGAGACGGGAAAGAGCAGGGCCTTCGTTTTGGTCAGTTCTCACATTGACTAACATGCGTGTCTGCATTTCTGCACATACTGTAGGTAGGGAATAGCTCTACATCCCTGTCTGCGAGGATGCTGCGACTTGAATCTTTGCAGATGTTTTCCATCAATGATTTGACGTTCGGTAGGATTGATCCTCGCCGTAGCTGCAACATTTGCGCAACTAATTATTCAAATCTGATGATGGCATTGTTGACCAAAAATTCAGCGATTAAAACACAAATTACCAGTGAGCGAAGTGCTACCGACTTAAGACCGATAAACTGAAAAAATCAAGACTGAAAAACGGCTATAGGCACATTGGTCACTTCGAAGATAGTCGAGTCAACCAATCAATCTTTATATACTCCAAAAGTAACATATTTCTCAATAAAAATATCTCTGACGATAGCATTGCCGACTAGGAGTCTCATATTCAAAGCATTTTGCACACGCATGACAGTAATTTCATGAAACCAACTCCCTCAACCATCACGATCTTTTATTGCAAATAAGATAAAAAAGAACTTGAACGTTAATTGTACAGATATCACATTCTAGAAGGCGGAAGAATGTCCAAGAGGGCAAGGCCTTGCTTCATCTGAGACAACAGAGCCTTGATGACGTACACTCGCGAGTGTAGGATGGGGACGAGATGAGGCTCTGGTTTGAGAAGTACCCGCACCCGCCGGTAATAAACGCTCAGGTCCTGTGCCATCTTGAATAGGAACTGCGGGACCAGATGCGTAGAAACGGATTTCTCTCTCGACAGACCCAAGCTCTTGAGCACGACGAGCGACAGCTGCAGAGCATGACGCAGCAGACCTTGTTCTTCGGGTTCTCTTAAGTGCTCGTCGCAACGGAGCTGTTGGAGTGGCACGAGGGGAGGATAGACCCCGCTCTCGACCCCCTCCTCGAACTTGGCCAGAATGGCTGAGAGCCTGGCCGTATTGTACAACACAAACGTCCCCTGTTTACTGCCGATGCCAGCCGAGAGATTCTGAACCGGAGTCCTCCAGGACACACCGACCAGTTGAAACTTGATATGGGCATCGGTGAGGGTGTCCAGGAGGCCCTCATCATTGATGGTGCCATTCGGAGACGGAACGACTCCGTGTTGCGAGGAAGACGTCGGGTGATGTTCCACGCCGAATGCAGATCGAGGAGTCGCGACGGCATCGAGAGCCAATCTCGTCGCAGAGACCAAGTCAGACGTGGTAAATTCCCGCTCTTTTTTCTTCGTATCCACGTTTAGAACAGGAGATGGAGCAATCAAGGCCGTCAGACGTCCATCTCGGGAAATCGAAATGCCAGGGTTTCCGTCTTCAGTAAAAGCACACAAGTCGACGTTGTCGCCACTGACGATTCGGTGCACTGTCACGGGTTCAATGACATCGTCACGATTCAGAGATTCCAGCATGCGCTTCAGATGCAAGGCCTGAAGATAGATCCTCAGGCACGTAAGATCAGACAGGGACGGTGGCGTCAAATTCACCTCTACGGATAATCCCAGGGGTATGGGGCATTCTCCAAGGGTTTTGGCCTGATCATGCAAGGGCTTCAGACAAATTTCAATCATTTCTTCTACGGATGCTGAAGCCATCTCTACAATCATATATTCATAAAAAAAAAAACAATGAATGCAACTGGAAACATGCCCGATGGAGAATCCCATAAACTTCATATTTCTCATGGATAAGTATCGTTATTTTATATTACTGGCATTTAGATTACCGGAGTTAATGGACAGACCATGGATGCGCTGCAGGTAATGGATATTTCTAAAGGGAATATTTATTTTTTTGTGTGAAAAATTAGCTAGTCGAATATCTTCCATAAATGTCGATGCCTTACGGAAAGACAGCTGGTATTTTTTCCCGATCCAATCAAACCCGTTTCACATAGCAAATTTTTATCAAGGAATAAAAGAACCGGTCAACGCTGCAGGAATACTGGACCCCGGTATTTTCAACACAATTGGATTTCGATTTTCTGGAAGCAATGACTATGCAACAGTAACGTTCCGAAATGAAATGGAATGGCCATGACTGGGATGAAACTCCCAACCTTCATGCAGAGAAGGTGGCGCACCTTTTTTTTTCAAAAGGAAAGTGTTTCAAAAAAAGTGTTTGCGGGGATTTTCTGTATGGTGTAGCACCACAGACCTCTTAAAGCTGCTCTGATTAATGAGCATCTGCAGCGTGTGAAGGACAATTACTTATTGCTGAGGGGAGGCACCCTCATCCAACTGCGAAGATCGAATCAATAAGGTTCCAATTGCTTCGATAATAGCTCGTATGAGCAAGGAATCAACTCTTTATAAAAGTCTGGCTAGCCTTATGACAAAATCTTGCTGTCAGTTATTGACTCAGAGCCAATGTTGCCTGCTGACTGAAAACGATTGGAAAAATTAGGGTATCTGATAACTTGGCTCGCATGAACTTGCTTTTGGAGAAGCTTCCTCTTGGGAGATTAGCAATTTCCCTTATATTACACAGTGCAAGATAAACTGCCAGCTTTGCCATCCTATCAGTCCAGCCCAAGCAGACTATTTCTTGCATGACTGGTGTACATCAGTGGTGGTCCCCACTGGTACAAAATAAACAAAAAACACACAGAGAAACAGCAAAATATGATGGGTTTTATTAACTCATCACATAACGACATTCACATGATCAGTGAATCCAACAAGACACCCTCACTTCAAAGCTCCATGACTTCAGGTATTTGGGAATTGGATTCAACCTCTGGGCTTGATTCAGCTCAACACAAGATGACAAATCAGAAGAGTTCTGCTTGCTTCCTTCCGTGTTCACTTCACTTGCTACGCCGGAAAGTCATAGACTTGACAGGTTCACGGCTTCCTTGTCCATGGGGCCCTGAAGGGCTGTCCTGCTTCCAGCCTCGACCTTCACGTCTCTTCCCTCTCTCCCCTCCTGGCCCCATTTCTAGCATTTCAAAATCAGTACTCACATCAAGACTATATACAAGACTGACATACTAGATATTCTTGAAGTTTAAATAACTTCAGTTCTAGAACTCATCATGCCCATGCATGAAGAGAGAAAAATCATCCAAAAGAAAACCCCAAAATCATTCATTCAACCTTATTCTTCTGCAGCAAACCAAAAATTATTTATAATTTTTTTTTTCCTTAAAGATTGCACGCAATAAAATGGAATGCCAGAAGTCTACAGGGAATCCCATACCTAGAGAGGGGCAGCTCAATAGAAAGCTTGATGATTTCAAACTCAAAGACTAACTAACCCATGGAATATTCCTTATCATTTCAACATGTGAGCATGACTTTTGATCAACCTAGCAACCAGTTCATATTTTAATATGAGGAAATTTTCTCATTAATTAATTTTCCCATTTCAAAGAGGTGTTATAGAATTTTGATTAGTTAATTAAATTACAGCAGTGCCACTACCATAACACCACAGTTATTTTGAATGCCATCATAGAGTAGTAATCATCCTTGATAAGAGCACCGTCACTGCATAACTGAAAACATCAAAGTCCCAGCTTCTATGATGTTGCCATGGTAGGTCAAAGGTAAAAATACTCACTACCAGAAGATGGCTGATCAGGAACAGGAGAATGGTGGGTGCTGTCCCTTTCTTCCCCCTTGTCAGATGCTGAAGCTGGACTGGACCCAGATACATTCTGTCTTCTTACTGGTGGGCGATAGATTTCCATTGCTGGACGATCCTAGAAAGCATCCCACCACTTTCACTTTAATAAATTGAGTACAGAAGAATCATGTGCTGAAATGGTAGGAGCTGAAAGGTGTGGGTGGTTAAAGTCATGTAATACAATTGAGGCCCATAATAGGCAATAGCCCATGGTGCTGTATTGATTGTGATGACTGATGATTGATGGTGATGATTGATTGTGTACTGATGGCTTGCTAGATATATATGTTTAACACTTTCAGTCCTGTACTTGTTATATGATGGGTAAAGGCCATGGTGCATTATAATCCCTGAGACCAAAAGTGTTAGCCCTCATCCATGTTAATTAGTCGCACATGCTCCTCTCTAGATCAAGGACTTCATTGAAACATGCAGTAAAAATCTGTGTTTTTTAGCATAAAAAGCTTGAGACTAAAAATAAGCCTTTGATGTATCCTTTGCACATTGTATGAGAGACAATGGTCCCAGCTTATAATCCTGGCCAAATGTTGGGCATAGCTTGAGTTATTGATTCTGGCTTTACCCAACTGGAATTTTGAGTTATCAACCTCAAGAAGGGGAGTAAATGAATTAAGGAAAACAAAAGACTAGCAGAAACAGGAAATAAAGGTTGTCAGCTGTGGCCTGTGGTCAACCATTTATACCATCTTGTTCATGTACATATGTTGAGGTTAGTTTTGCCTGGAGAGCTTTCATGGAATCAGAATAATGCAAGAATGAAAAAGGACATTTGCTTTACCAGGCAGCAAATGTCACCATTGTGCTGTAGTCTTTGGATCTTATAACATATAAAAAGGATGTTGTGATATGGGATGAGCAGTTGCAATATGAGATATATAAAAATGAGCAAAGGAAGCACAGGAATGGAAGTAGGCATACCTTGTTGCGAAGTCGTTTTTCTCTTTTCTCCCTGCGCTCCTTCTCTCTATCCCTTTCCTGTCTTGTTTGGTCCCTTGGTTCTACATATGGGGGTTTCTCTTTCTCTGCAGACTTTTCTTCATTTTTCTTTTCCTCCTCTCTTCTTTCACTTCCTTTCCCAATTTGTTTCTCTTCAGATGACACACCAGTTGGTACTGATTTTTCTACAGGCTTCTCACTAATGAAAAAGAAAAAAGTCTTGACATCAGGTTGACCATTTCATGAAAGTGACTAGCACCAATACAGTAAAACACATCTTGGCTAAGACACAGCAACACCTTGTCAGAGAACTTTTAGATACATGTATCTACATACCTTTCTTTCATTTCATGTTACAATTTAACTTCAGCCTAGATATGAGATGAATACTTCTATTCTTCATCCACTTTCATGGCAATTAGAGACAAACCTCAATCACTTTTTGAATCTCACAACTTAATTTTTTCGTAATTAATCCCTTTCCTACAGATGACGTATATTTATGTTGTGGGACTTAGCGCCTGGCTGAGGTTGGAATAATACTGTTGGGATGCTGGTCTGGCTCAGTCAATCCCATGGTCAAGGGGTTAATAAATTTCATGAGTATTTTAACAAGTCTTCCCCACCTACACATTATGTTCTGATTAACCTTAACATGCCAAGCATTTCCATATTCAAATAGAGAATGCAAATGGAAAAACTGAAATTTTGCCATATTCAAAGAGCATAGAATCTTCCTTTCCACACCTATAAAAGGAAGATTCCATGCTGTTCAAATATGGCAAAATTAGCATTTTTCCACTTACCTGCTCTGTTCAAATGTAGAAAAATTTGGCATCTAAAGGTAATGTTATGATCCTGTGGAGAAGCTTGAATTAGCATGGAAGTGAATCTTGCAAATGGTTTAACTTCTCCATTCTCCAAGGCCTACAATCAGATGTTACTGCTAAACATGAAATTAATAAACTCTTTACAGAGCCATACCAAGCAAAAAGCTTAATTAAAAGCAATGACACCAGACTCAAGTGATAGATCTCCCTCAGGTTTCTTATATAGAGTAGACAAAGAAGCAAAAAAAAAAAACTAGGCTTGAAATTATTTGCTCTCGTAACACACTTCATTTGGAGTATGACCAAAAATGGATCAACATCTTATCATGTCATGCAAAATACTTGTTTACTGCATCAGCTATACAATCAGTCAACAAAATGTGAAAATCCATGGCAATGCAGTTGTTTTGCTCATCATCGTATTGCTACTTTCTATTAAATTTTGACTGCAGAATGCACCTTACCTTCTTTGGGCTTCTTCCTTTATTTTCTCCTCAACTTTCTTCACCTTCTTCTTTCCAATATCCCTTTCCCTATCCTTATTCTTTTCCTTGAACCTCTCAGTCTTCCCCCCTTCCTCTTCTCCTTCCTCCTCCTCCTTGATAGGCTTCTTCAGCAACTGAAATCCACACAAAAAGATCAAGCAATGCCAATACATACAGTCTGAGTCTTAAAAAATGTAAATTACAAACACCTTCTGAAAGGAAAGCTATTATTCCTTGCTGGAAATAGACTTATATTGATAATGGGGGATGCAAAATTTGAAAGATTTTAACCCTTAAATCAATGATTATTCTCTTCTGGTGAAAAAAATCTGACAGTTTTATTTAGGTCCTAGAACATGGGAAACATGGGGAAAAAAATCCTTCCTCAAATCTGTAAGTAGTAGTCCCAACAATGTAATTGTTGCACAACTGCTACAAACATTTTCAGCTTTCTAACCCACATTTGCATGGAGGCTAAAGAGCTCAGTCAGTCAGTCAACATTCATGCATACTTCAATGCAAATGAAAATGTAAGAACATGGATGAACATGGACTCTGGATTATCATATAGTTGAAAATAATTGCACCAGCAATGTTAGTCTGTCATAGGACAGAGCAGTGTGTTCTTATGTTGCTTGCCATCAGGAGTGTAGGCCACTTAGCAACTGCTTGGGTACTAGGTACAAGGACTAGACTGTTGCACATCTGTTACGAACTGATTTACCACTAAAGCTCATTACCTATACATTCTAACCATTTTATTTGGAATATAGCATACCTGCTACATCAAGCATTAAAGGGTTACATTTTATTTTCTGAACCAAGGGAGTTCTGGAAGGTCCTAAGCTTAGTTTCTTGGCCTTGTTGCACCTAAGACTTTTCCAAGACCTTTTCCTAGCTGATACTGAATACCCCTTTGAGATTATTTTCATACATATTAACACTTCTCACATATGTCACTCTCTAGCTTAAGTGGGAGTGGTACCACATGCCTCTTTAAAGAAAATCAACCAGGAGGCTGAGTGCAAGACTTGGGGAGGGACCAGCAATTCCATTTATGGTCAGTCTCAACAGCACCATGATGCCACAAGATAAAAATGAAAAGGACATGAGCATGTGTTAAATTTTTTGTGATCTGCAGAATGAAAGGGCATTCATTCCAATAGCATACACCTTCATTGTATAATCCAGTGACTAAACAATAGAATAAAGTCCTCTTCAAATGAAAAGTAGGAGAAAAAACTCTCCTACCAGCAGTCAGAAAAGCTTTCACAAAGCATTCTCCAAGGGTCAAAGTAAGGGGGATTAGAGGTGTATTAAGAGACCATGTGGTTCACTCCATGAAAATTGCCATTATAAGCTGCCAGTACAGCTGAAAGTGCCCAATTTTTCCTTAAGTTGCTTTGATTCAAAAATCATCAACTGAGGGACATTCTCAGCCATTTCCAAACATCTGGAGAGCATTTCATTTTTGATTATACTGGTTGGCCTTTGCCTGCGATTTTCAATTCTGCTAATCACCATTTGTACCAAGCACTCCCATGTCATGCACTCAGACATACTCTTCCCAATCCAAAGAGGATCTTCAGTGACAGTGGGTATCTTGGTTTGGAGGTGAGGCCCAGTTTGGTAGTTATGGTTTGCAGGATTTGCTTCTGGCAGCTATGGTGACCAGAAGCTCATTGTGCAAGTTTGAAAACTCTACTGCATCACCAGTGTTAATGAATTTTTAGCATCCCATCTTTTTTGCCAGTAAGATTCATAAAACAGATGCAAAAGCAGTCACAATCTCCTGATCACTGGATCAAATGATCAAATTCCAGTCAGCGAGTGGTAGTTGGAAGATCAAAGAAATGCATGGTTCCCATGGGATGCTTTGTCTATCTTCTCTGGTGATGATAGATAGCCCCAAATGCTCTAGATAATGAATGTTGAACCTGAATTATGTTTCAAAGAAGTTCTATTTTACTATTAAAACTGCCAGTGCAGAAGAACTCTTCTGAATGCACTTAAATTTCTCTTTGAGACTGCAACCCACCTTCCCCTCTCACTTTACTTTTGCATGGACACGAAAATGCTCTTAGGTAACCATGAGTCAACTCTCCAAAGAGGTCCAGAAGTTGCAGGAATTGTGGAGGGACACTAAAGAATTGTCTGAGTCTATTATCAATTTTTTATTTATTACAGAAAATAGGCTATGTCTAAAGTCACTGGAGCATTCATGAGCAAAGATTGTGAGAGCAATGCTCCTGGATTATGACAGAAATTTTAGGAATATCTGTCACCTAACTGAATATGGGAGGCAACCTAGGAAAGAGGCAAAGATCAAGAATGGTACTTCCTGTCATAACAACTAAAGGGGATGATGGGATGACCTAACAGATACAGAAAGAGATAACCCTTTCAGTGTGAGACAACAATACATTGTTGATTGATTTGTGTGCAAGGAGGTTCTTGACACTAAGGGGGTTAAGAAAGGATGTAAAAGTCAAGTACAGTAATATTTGGGTCAGAGCAGAGGGGGGAGTTGCAACTTTCTGAAAGATCTGATAGAGCCAATGTCCATATAGGAGACTGGTAGGTTTGTTGGTTAAGGTGGAGGAAGACAAAAGCCTGAATAAGTGGACAAGAGCCTTTAAAAAAAACAAAAAAACAAATAAGCAGGCTAAAATAAAACATGATATAAAAGACTTGAAAATGCCACCCATATCATCAAGAGTCTTCATGCCTTTTTTTGCTTGCAACTCATGCACCAGGACTATCACTTGATTCCATATAAAGCCTCAAGATTAGAAGATGAGAAAGCCTCAGGGATTTTCTGAAGAAGGGACTTAAAAGCTTGCCAATCCTGAAGCTAACCTTTTTCCTACGTCTTTCCTCTTCTCTGAGTCGCCGGCGTTCCAGGTCTTTGCGACGTTTCTCTTCGCGCCGGTCTTCTCGAAGACGAAGTCGTTCCTGCTTGCGTTGACGAATGTACTCCAGCAGGGGGGTACTTAACTTCCCAGCTCCATTCAGTCCTATGTAACATTAAAAAGAGATGAGAGCTGAGGGATGCATAGGAAATGTCCCTTAGAAACTGAGATGAGATACAATCAAAACTGAATACAGTAATGTAAAAAAAAGTGATTAGCATTGCTGACTGAGCAACCAATTGGATGGAGCCCAAAAGCCTTCTGCAAAGTGGTGGTAGCCATATAGGGGTATCCCGTTTAATGTTGTGGGACTTGGCTAAACCAAAAACCTGAGCATTTTCTCATCCAGCAAAGGCAATCAGATGTTAGACTGCATTAGCAGTGTCTCCTGAGCTGCACCTCAGACTGGAGGACATCCTTCAAATTCTGAAATAACCCTTTCCTGAATCAGTTCTTTGACTGATTAAAAATGGTGAAGTATGGGGAGGTCTAACCAGCACCAGGAGCTTAGTCCAGTAAGCCATTACAGCCCTTGGATAACATATATTATTTATTATTTTATAATGATAATATAATAATAATAATAATAATAATAATGAATTTTCATTCTGAGTAGAGGGAAAAACTGCATAGTGAAGTACCAACACTGATATCAGAGGGAAACAGCCCACTCAGAAATGGTATATTGGGTCAAAAGTAGATGGAATACATTCACTTAAATCAATACATACACTAAGTGACCAATAGACTACTACACTACTACAGCCTTCCCAACAGTATAAACAAACTCAAAAATGCATTTAGAAATCCTAAGATTCTCAAACATATTTCACACTTCAATTTCAATAGAAATCAGTTTGATGAAAAAAATAATAAGGGGAGGATCTTGAAGATTAACAGGCTCAATCACCTCAACACTACATCAAAATGTAACTTAACAAATTGTGAAAATTGCTGGATAAGCTGGTCCAGATAGAGCACAAATGAACTTCTACTGAACTAGATGTTGATTTGCAACAAAACTCAACTAAGAGATCAGAGGGCAGGCAATAACCTTCTTCACACTGAAGTAATTTGGACTATGTAATGCACTTGTGTATTGGTGAGGAGTCAATAGGAGCTACACCCAGTGTCTAGATTCTAAAATTTTGATAAGAGTTGTAGCTCTTCCATTCTTGTTTGCAATTTGATTAAATCAAACTTTAATTTGCTTAGTAAATTTTTAATGCAATTATAAATATAATTTTCATACAGAAAATTTAATGAAAAGAGAAGAAAAGGCAAATTTTCTAGCCCTTCCCAAAGCAGGAGATAGACTGTAAGAAAAAGAAATAGATGGTGGCACCAGTAAGAAAGGTATTAATTGACTGAATGAGAATCTGCAACTCTGATGGGCTTCCCCAGACATATTGCATTAAATAATCCATCATGATCCTAAGCAGGATTTTCCTCCCCTTTTATATTTTAAAAATCATATTCTTTCCTGAAATTGATGTATACTCATCAAAATGAATACAAATATGAGTTTCAACTGCTACTATGGACTAATCTGGACGAAAATCATTAAAGACTCTAGACAGTCACCTAGCACTATCAGAATACTCTCTCTCTCACACTGTCACTGAACAATCTCTCTCATACTGAAATGAGGCTGCCTCACTATACCTTTTAGTTCACGTTCCCTGGCCTCTATTTCCTCCAGGAGGCTTTCAGCTGTTGCAGAAACAACTTCTTCAGGTGACTTGATATTCTCAAGGAAGGCCTGATATTCAGGGTCAGACTCAGCTGTTCCACTCTTGCCATCCTTCTTTCGATTACGGGCTCGAGGAACCTTCTGGAATGGGGCCAGTTCTATGACTGCTGGGTATTCATGACCTGGTTGGGGGGAAATGAGTGCAGGAACATCTTCAATCTCATTGCTTTGACAAATTCTGAATCATCCTAGCAATTTTCTTCAATACTGAAAATATATCTATAAATGTCTCTCTGCTCTAAGTCTCAAGTTTCTTTCATGAAAAGTCACATTCATGGTCAACAATGAATACATTGAGGGGTTGAATTTGGATTGATTAAATGGATATATGTACATCCTCCTCCATCTGGATAATGATGCATTCTAAGTTGCAGCATCATACGCCAAATGTTGACAATTGATACTGCAGAAGCAATAAATATATATCACATAACACAAATGTAAAATTATCATGCACAATATCCTCTTATTCCACTCATATGACAAGCTGGGGAATCACTCAATTTCATTACCTATGGATACCATATAACCTCAAAGAAGTTACTAAGATCACTGTGACAGAAAATATTGCATCCAGAATGTAATCAAGTTGGAATACTCCTAAAAGGGGAGATAATGGCCATGAAGATTCTGAGTCCATAGCAATTTTTTACTAGGCCTCAAACCATAGACATAGGAACAATCTGGAAAGTGCGATGGGGCAAACAGATACAAGTAACCACAATAAGAGAAGAATGCAGAGGGGTGTGGGGTGAGTAAATGTACTGGAGGCCTATCAAACCTGCCTCTAGCATCTCCCCCCTCCCCCTTCCAGCAAAAAATTTGAAACACTTAGGGTCAATTGCATGAACGATGTTTTCCAGTGTTTTTCAAAAGTCATCAGTTAACCGATGTCTAAGGCCAAAAATAGATTGCATGAATGCTATCTTCCTTTAACCATTGTCCTAACCATCGGCTATGAAAACAGCTTGGGAATTGTTCACACAATCAAAAGTAGACAACAGTTAACTGATATTTTTGTAGACAATGTTTAAACAATGGCTATCAATATTCAATGTTTAAAATAAATGCCATTCATGCAATCAGCTGATAATGTCCAATCAACATTGAATTAACATAGAATAAACAATCTGAATGTTGATATAATGTTGGACCAATGTAGCCTTGTTTGCTGGGTTCATTCAATCTACAGGAATCAATCTTATTATTTTTCCATTTTTTTAAATGAGTTCTTGCATTATTATGCAGTAAGTTTAGCTTATAAGCTGATAAAATGAGAGCTGACTACACTGACAGTCAGTTCATAATTCTGAAGGGTGAGAGATACACACCTAACTGGAAAACGATGGAGGAGAAGATGAAAGTGCCTTTCTACCTCAACCTAAAGGCACTTGCGCTAATGCAGGGTTCCTCAAGTGGCATGGAACTGGCAAGCAAGTGATACAAGTGGCATAGTCCAAAAGCCTGGGGGAGGGAGGGCAGAGGAGGCTATGCTCCACCTTGTTTAACGTGCACAGGCAATAAAGACTTGCGGGCTAGAGGGAGTGCATTTGTTCATCCTGACCTTGAGTGAAAGTGGTTCACACAGGACCTGGGCCTGGCAAAGGAGGGGGCAGACTCATATGTTGATCTAAAATATAAGTTCCTCAGTTCCTCAGCAGCTTATCAATGGCTTTCATTATAAATGCCCATTGTATAATTATTAATTTTTTAAAAAAGTTTTTAAAGTCACACGCAGCATTGTTTCCCCTCTTACAGGCAACTTTGTTTGAATCAAGGCTGCCTATTACAATTATGCCCAACTAGAAAAGTTTCTCATCAATGGAATCTCTACCAGTTATATCTGAAGTCGATACTCAAATTTGCTTTTATTCAAGGCATGTACTCTCTCTTTTCAGACCACTCTCCTTTCCAGTTAATGGGGTTTCACCATATCCAATGGCTTCATTTAGTAGGATGATGACCATGAAATGAAGTGCTCAGGCTGCAAAATCAGTCATTTGACCAGGGAGAACATTCCTCAAAAAGCATTGCACTGTATTGTAATGTGAAATGTAAGGTGAAAGTACTGAAATCCACTCTCATGAGATCACAGATTTCTATGGAAGGAAGTGAGCCCTGCTAGCATCTGTCCTTGAAAGACATTCTCTGGTGTTCTGTCAACAATGAATCCTATCAGATACAATTTTATGTATAATACTGCAATGCTTGTAATTGGTTGGAAGCAATGATAGTAGACAAGACAGAATTCAATACCCATAGTAGTACCAGTACTACCAGTATTACTAAGTTCTGCTCATTCTAAAACTCCACTTCCCTAATTTTGTCCAATGTTATCAACATTAATGTAAATTTCATATTCACAAAAGTAAGTTATGAATCCTAAGATACTTCTCAGGCCTCCTTTCATGACCAAGAAAGAGTTTCTTTCATGTGAGGGCTAAAGCCAACCTCCATCAAGAATTAAATCCTGGAACTGGAACATAAACAATATTACTTTGTTTTGGCATGGGGTGGTGTGAGGTGAGGATGCCACTTATCATGGAGTTACTTCATAATTTAAGGTTGAACATGGACATTGCCTATGCCTTATCAAGGAAAATGTGCACATAATGATGCAGATCAAAAGAATGTTTCTGCAAAAATTTAAACAAGAATCCACACAGACCTTGATTTTTAAAACACAGATTACAAAACTTCTACAAAGACCTAATTGACATAAACACATGAATTAATGCTATCCTCTCTGCTATGATTCATAACAGATTATTTTACATCATGCTGTTGATGAAATGTAACTCAGTGAGGGGAAAACACACCTTTCTGATCAACGAAGACATATCCATCAAATGTCTCCCAAAAAGTAATCATATCCTCCTGACGAAAGAAGTTTATATAAGCCCTTGTATAAGCATGAGTGCCGTAAGTCATGTCAGCCTTGACAAAGCAGAAGTAGTCATTCTCGGGCAAGGGTGAGACTTGCTGAAGGAAATCCTCCTGGGTCATCGTTGGTGGGAGACGACGCACCACAACCTGTTAGGTACCAAGTCCAGTATCACCTATTACCAATGCAATGACATGGATATAACCTCATGAGAAAAAGAAATAATTTCTGTCTATTTAAGTCAAATTACAGTGATTCTATACATGTGCATATTCAAGAATGCTGGTTGAGAGATTTTGCAAAGAAGAATTCTCCTTTGCAATTATATAGCTTAGAACTAGTTAGAGTTCTATTATAAACATGATTGGGGATACAAGGCTCTGCCATTGCGTGGTAAGAGAACCCAGTAGAAATGAGGTGATTCCATTCCAATTTCTTTTCTCCACTCTGTTGATTATTTTCTTTTGTCTCATTGCACCATTTCATTTCCACTCACAGAGGGAGAAGAATATGACTTTGTTGCTAACTACTTACGAAATGGAGTGCCACAATGTCCTTGACTGCAAAATTAAGAACCATGTTACATATCACCTGTTATGTAAGAAAGGCATAATTGTCTAATGTAAGCCTTTCCCTTCAGTGAACTTCTCTCATATTGGTACACATTGTGCTATAAAGGCATAAGTGTCTGAGGCACCGCTTCAATGCTATGGCTAATCAAGATGGGTAGAAGTGTGTCCTTTATAGCAGCTAAAGGACTGTTACACATACTTTCAAAAGTTCTTGTCATTAGCTGAAAAGTAACCTCACCTCTGAGGTTACATTTTGAGGTTACACTTATGCCCTACTTTCATAGGGCAGGTGAAATCTGTAACCTCTTTTTGAACTTACATTGAAGATGAAGACCAAGACAAAATTCATCCTGGATTTTTGAATATGCTTTAAATTCTTCATCTCATCATTATCTACAATGGGTCAGCATTTCTCCTGCTGGGAAGTTCAGTATGATTACATATAGATGCATTTTCACTAATAGAATACTTCATTGTTTGTGTCCAATTGGGGCTTAGAAGGCAATGTCATAAAACATGGGTTACCCAGTCTAGGTAGTTTCAGACAAGGTTTCTGACTGCAAATTAAAGAAATATATGGGCCTATCAACTGCTGAACTGCATTTATTGGCTGAAAAAAAAACCACAATGCCATGGAACTAACTTTTCTTGATGCACGGAGCTTCTCTTTGCGACCAGACCCATGACCATTGGGGTCCTCACTGCTGCTATCTCTTCCCTCCTGTGACTGGGTCATGGCAGGTCCTCTCATGTTTCCCTCATGCACACACATGAATCACTGCATCATAGTCCCCTTCTACACACCCTCACAGGCATTTCATCTATCACTTTCTACTTCAAGTAATAAAAAAAACAGGAAACTTAATATAAACTTTCACTGATGGTTTTCATTGACCTGCAGGTAATACAGCAGATTGTGAAAAGAGAACCTCATGAAAACCACATAGATGCAGCAATGATTTTAAAAAAGACGGCAAAGGAGGATGCAACATGCTACCATATGCCTTGAAGGTTACCATCTTAGACAAGACATAATGGCACTGCAACCATTCTAGTTCAATAAGACTCTAATAGAGGGTGATTTAGGAACAGTTACTAATTTTATCAGTAATTCTGGAAATTCCCTTGAGCTATAGGTCATAAAAACTCATATAATATGCATCACCCACAACAATAAATTCAAATGTGTAAATAAGAGGCAAGAAACAGACTTATTGGTAGAGGCTTCCTATTCTCAACTATGTTCTGCACAAGTAGCATGATTTCTTTCCCACCATCTTTATAGAATTCCCAGGCATACTGGATTTTTGCAAGGCAGGTCAAGCTGAGCTGTTCTAATTTTCCTGAACTGCTTCCTCCTCCATTTCATAATCTGCAGCACAACTCTATCTCACCGACAGCTAAGGGTAGTGCCCTATATTTGCCCCTGTAAAAGAAATATTTAAGGAAGAGGTAGATTGCTCCTCCAGAAGAAAACTTGGGCCTACAGATGAGAAGCTTCTAAGAAGTCGATGCCATTTAGAAATATAAAAAAGTTGAACTGCTCGAAGTGAGAGTGAACCTAGTTCTCTAAACATCGATGCAACTGGCGGCAAGGGTAGTGAGGGACGTCTTAGCAGCATGGTACTACCTGCTTAGTCAGCGTTCGCCAATATTCTGTGAGGCCTGCATCAACATCGCGAGCAACGAAACATTCAGCTACTGTTGTGATGCCCTTACTCGGTGACATTCCGGATCGCGTCATGACACTAATATCAGCACGCACCATTGTGTAATTGTGAAGAAAGAACGGCTTTAGTAAACTTCCCCCCCGTGAAACTCCACGACAACAGGGCGCTGCCATGCTGCATTTCCACTATTGGGCACCAGCAGGTAAGATCAGTCTCTTGCGGGAAGAAATTGAACCTTTCGTAGAGAACCCCTGCGTCATACGTCTGGATCACTGAATTTATGGTACCGTTCATGTTACTATTAATAGCATCCTTCCTGAGTAGGCAGCAAACCTAGTGGCCGCTGAGGAAAATGACATTTCTACCGCAGGCTGGTAAGGCTTAGCATTGCGAACGCTAATATTATTCGATAAATTGCAACGATTCAGGCGAGAAGTACAGTGGAAAATACCCTGATTTCCTGGACCCAAAATAGGTCAATCAAAAGGATGGAGTTAGATATTAGCATAAATATGGCTCTTTAGGATTCGCTATTTTACCATAAAGGAAATAAAGGACTGCAAGCCCATCAAAAGCCAGGTTCCATCGAGCCAGGCATATATAGCTGTGTGCTCAAGTCTAATTCACAGTAAAATTCATGTTCTGAGTAAAGAAATACATGCAATAGTTTCCCTGAGTTTTACTGGTTACGTTACGACTCGTGCCAAACGAGCCCTCTAAATCATTCCTTTTGGACCAAGAATGTTCTGGTCAAAGTATTCGATAAATGTACTAAAACAATGCTGCATTCGTACTCAGCTGTCAAAAACTAATGTATCACCTTAGAGATAACGATTCTTTAACAATCTTCTCATGCTATGTCTAAGCTTTTAGAGGATATAATGAAATCATCATTTGCTATTACTTCAACCATTATTTATCAATGGAAATGGTCATATCTGAAGAATATGAGTGCTGTAATCCAATTATATTTGCGGACAGTCTCTTAGAGAAACCTTGCATATTTTGTCATGCCATAAACTCCTGTTCCCAAGGTCATGGAAGGAATAAGGCGATATTATCTGGATATGAAAACGTCATGTACTTCTGTGTTATATTTATGCTATAAGTAATATCAGAAATAAATAATTTTTTCCACCTGCCTTTAAAACTAATATCAACTAAAATTTTCCTTTAGTCAGAAATACTCAAAAAAAATTTTTTTTAATGAAGCAAATGCCAGTAGCTAGAAATGTCAATTTGATTTGAGGAAACATTTATAGAAATTGCATAGATCCATGAGTGCATTATAACATACAGAAATTGTGGGCATTGTAACAAATAAAAAGCATCCAGCACGATACGAAAAATTTGACAGCCTCTGCATACATTGATGAGTGCTTAACATTGGTATAAATGTGTCAGTATTCGGATGCTAATGTGGTCCTGGTTGATGTTTTTCTCGATCAGACAATTCTAGTAGCATAATGCTGAAGCAGACCAGAAATAATGTATTGTCAGAACACTTACAGAAAGTGAACGACTTTGTCCAGAAAGAGCAAAACAGGAGTAAGCGATTTTTGCTTCCCCAAAAAATTAAAAAAATCCGCTAAACTACTCCCTTTTCTCCAAAATATCGCTATATTTTTCTGAGCGAGCTCCATACTACTGACGTGGTGCCTGGAGAAAACAGCGTTAGTGCTTGAGTCCTGATATGTGCTCAATCCGTGAAACTTACGAGAACTTATGATATATGTTTAGGGCCCACGGGAGAAAGTCAAGCACCATGAATAAAAGCGACATGCGATCAAGCCGATATCTGTCAATGCCGATCAAGTTAACAAGTTTCTGAGAAAGTTTCAAGTCTCATTTGCGATTGGCGTTCTCATTTGCATAAGGAATTGCGAACGACGTGCATTGTCGCGGACGACACAGGGCGCTGCCACATCCATTACTCGCTGCTTCCTTGCCTCTTCCTAAGCCCTCAATTTCCCCCTCTATTTTGCAGGAGAAATGCATCTGCAACCACGATATTCCTCTTTAATTTGATGAAAAGCTTCACCTTCAAAATGAAAAAAGTTGAAGAGTAATGACCTATGGAATACGAGTAGATGTTATTAGTTCGAGGAATTGTCTCAGGGTAAGCCTGCAGTTCAATTATTACATTCTACGTTTTAAAAAAAAATATGAGTATTGACATCGTGGGCCGATTGGATCGAGCTAATATGCATTTATTCTGTCGACGTTTGCTTAACGGCATCCATAACGTCAGTGGACACGGTGGAGCACTTCATTTTCCATCGCAAAATATCGCAAAAATGAAGAAAACGGTATGTCTGAAACCCTCGGAAGCTTGGGAATTGCGTCAACCAAATTTCACCGCCGAATATCGTTCATCGGTACGAGAGCCCTCGACTTGCCTCGCTCCAGTTTAACTGAAACGAAAAACGGGACCGACTCTTCCCGAGCACATGTTAGAAAGGAAACATGCGGGTGCCACTCGTCGGTATCGAGTGGAATAAATAAAACTATTCTAAGGACGGGACACTGGGGTTCCGAAATCCTCTAGGTCAGGGGTGGGCAAACTACGGCCCGCGACAGCATTTCGACCGGCCCGTCAACTGTTGCCGTGCAGCAACGAAATGCGGTCCGTGGTGACAGGTCTGACCAGTCCTGGCCAGACCTGACCTGGCTCATATTCGTCCACGTGTCTGAACTTGCTGCCTCGTGGTGGTTTGTATTCTTGACTTATGAACTTTTTAATACAATTACCGTTGCGTTGCAATATGAGTGCCTCCAAGAAGTGAAAAGTTGACAGTGAATGTAGAATCTTCAATAAAGAGTGGACTACGAAGTATTCCTTCACGGACGTAGGCACAAAGGCTGTGTGCTTGATTTGCCACGAGAGTGTGGCAGTTTTCAAGGAGTACAATGTGAGTCGCCACTTTAATTCCAAGCATGCAGGCTTTTGCAGTAAGCTGATGAAATGACTAAGAAAGCTCAGGAACTCTTGGTGGAGTTACAAAAACAGCAGAACGTGTTCAATAAACGTGCTCCTCGGTTCCATGTATGTTTGTGAGTAAACGTTCTCATTGATGAACAGCAACAAATCAAAGTTGAGAACACAAATGACTGACCAACATTTGAGTGCAGTGCTGCGAATCTCCGCGTCAGAAATGACACCTGACTTCGGAAAACTCATAAACAACTGTGGCCAGCTGCACATGTCCCACTGAGATGTTGGTAAACCAAATTTATTCTTATTTTCGCGTATTTGTTGCTCTGTCGCCCGCGCGAGGCTTTAGTGCTTTGTCAGGTGGCCCGTATGCTAAAAAGTTTGCCCACCCCTGCTCTAGGTGCAAACATGAAAAAAAGCAATGCGTTAAATGGGTTCTTTCTCTTACGGCGTTTTTCGTCCGTCCCTCTCTTTGCATTCATGAACACATATCACGCTTGCATATTGTACTTTCGGTTCCCTCTGATACGAGAATAATTACGTCAGAGAGGAATGAGAGGTACTGAAAACGTGCATCGCATGCAACGACAGGCCTTATATTTGGATATCCAGGCGAGGACCTCCGCTTCGCCTGGGTTCCAGGAAATGGACCTAACTGGCATAGCCGGCCTGTCGATCCGGGTGCAAGGGACGTTTCGGTTCTACAACTCTTGCCGTTCGTGCAACCCTCGTGCATCCGTGCGTGAAGATGGCAGCGCGCGGTCAGCACGTGTGCACCCGCCAATGCGAATGTCTCGAGCTTCCATCATGGGCCTACTCCTCGACGGTTTAAGTAAGTCGGCGATTGATAACTAAATAAGCATAAGCTAGATATAGTTTCCTTTCCCACGCGCTCAAGAATTCTTTTAAGGATTCTTTATGGACGACAGTGAGTCGCATGTATGGAAAGGTCGGTCGAACGGTAGGCCTAGACAAGGGGCTACAGCTGCCAATTCGCGGGCTACGTATTAATTTCCTTTTTATTTCTGTGACACGTGATCGTTGCCTTAAAACAACGTCGGTTTTCGTTTACAATAGGTGTCCGTGCTGAGGACGTTACATGTGAAAGTGGTCGCTTCGATTGAGACCGCTCCCACGTTTTCCTCGCTGGTAGAATCCGTTCTCTGCATGCCCGAAGTCCATCCGCCGAGAAACAATTGAGGTTGTCTTGGATCGAGATGATGGTTCGAGGATCCGAAATGTTTCGTGGTGATCGCCACTTTCGATGGCTTCCGCCGTTCGTCTACGGGTCGGCT